GACAGGCCCCACATCCCAAGCCTGGTCTCCATGGCCCCCTGGGGGGCTCTCACCATTGGCCTCCTCCTCAGCCCCCACCTCCCGCCAGTACAGTTTGTAGCCAGAGATCTGGGCAGGGTGAGGGGGCGGCTGCCACGACACGACCAGGGACTCCATCCTTGCCCGCACCTTCAACTCTGCAGGGGCAAAGGGGACTGCGGGCAGACCAGTGGGGCAGGGGGGAAGGATAAAGACAATGGGGGATAAGGGAAGGGGGCCAGGGATGGGAGGGCGGAGGCGACAGGAGGAAGCAAAAAGCAGGAAGACACGCGTTCAGTGAGAGCCTTGACAGCCTTCTCCCAACCCATCAGCATTCAGTCATTCCTGCACCCGAAGTGTGAGGCACTGGCCCGGTCTGCGGTGAACCCACTGGTGTACAAGCACAGAGGGCTGGGGACACAGGTGTCTCCTGGGCGTTGACAAGGAGCATCTGGGGCAGGCTGACAGTACCTGACACAGAGCAGGGCTCTGTATGAATAGAACCAACAAGAGACCAGAGAGCGTACGGATACTGGCAGGCAGGGAGTCTCAGGGGTTGCTGAGGCTGGAAAGAGGGGCAGAGCCAGAGTGGGGGGCTTGCGAGTGTCAGACACTGTTCTAAGCACTTTGCCTATGTATTTTAACTTTATTCTCACAACTCCATAAAAGAGCTAACATTCTATTATCCCCATTTGACAGATAAGAAAACTGAGGCTCAGAGAAGTAACTTTCCCAAGGCCACAGGTAGTATGTGCACCAGGTTTTGTATTCAGCTCTAGTCTGTATTAATCATCCCACTATACAGCCTCTCAACAAAAACGACAACCGTAATCATTGCGGCAGCTACTGAACAGTGGGCTTTTATTACGTACTAAGCGCTTGGTTTACAATGCATTACGAATCTTTACTCCATCCCCTGAAGTAGAAGAAGACTCAGAGTTGTGAAGGGTTTGTCCAAGGTCACACAACGGACAGAAGAAGGGAGATGTGAGGCTGCCACTGGCCTCTACGCCCCAGCCTCCCTCACTTGGCAAGTAGTGAGGAGCCACGGCAGGTCTCTGATGGAGGAGGGTGGTGGGGCGCTGGGTTCCAAGGGCACACATACACCCACGCAGTCACTCACACCACTCGTCCTGTGCCCCATGACCCCGTACCATGGCTCTGGTTGTGCATACTGGGCACCCTGTGCTGGGTCCACTGGGAGGGAGCCCCGTAGCCTGCACCTGTGCCAGCGGAGATCCGTACTCGATACACCTTGTTGGGCTGAAGCGAGTTCAGCGTAAGCTGTGTCTCATTCCCTGGCACCTCGGTGGAGAAAATCTGATCTGCTGGGACAGGAAAGAGGGCTGCTGGGTAGCCACCTGAGGACCATGGCTCCTAGACTCCCTCCACCAACTCCTCCACCTCAGATCCTGGTTCCTCCGTGCCCACTGGAGTCTGAGGCCCTCTCGGCACTGACCAGTGAGTGCCTGGGTGGACAGCACAGCTCCAGGGCCCGGACTCCTGGGCTTCCAACCCTGGCTGATGCAGGAGGCTCAACCAGAGTGGGGAGATCACAGCACGTTCTTCCCCTGCCCTGTGAGCTGTCAAGAACCCCCTCCCTCCTGACACACCAGGGTGAAGGCACAGGGGTTGGCTGTGAAGGTTGTCAGGCACCATCTGCCTCCCAGAGCTCGAAAACCTCCCCAAGACCCACCCCCACCCTGGGCTCCTGGCTACCTTCCTTTTCCTAACTCTGTCCCTTTCACACACTGTCCCCTAGATCACCTCTATCTGCCCTAAGGCTTCCTCCCCATGGCCCCATTTCCCCTGGTCCCACAAGCACACCCCACCTCCTCATCTGCTTTTTGAGTTGGAAGGGATCCTAGGGATTACCTAGGCTACCTGTGTCATGTCACGCACAAGGAAACTGAGGCAGGGACTCAACAGGGTTATGAAATGCAACTGTAGAGAAGGTGGGGTGAGCACTCTTTGCCTTCCCCGCTCCAGCCCACTCTCCCAGATGCACCTTTCCACTCCTCTGCTTCATTTCCTTTGACTCCCCCGACTCAGCTCAGGTCCCCAGCTGCTCTAACCAACCCTTCACATTAATGATTCCCAACCACGGGGAGCCTGCACCCTGTCCCCACTCACCTTCCTTTCCCAAACCGTACTCTATCTTGTACTTCACCACATGCCCGTTGCTCAGGCCGGGAGGCAGGGGCAGCCACGCCACCCTGATGTCTGAGGGGCTGGGGCTGGACAGGGAGAGCTGGGGTGCCGCACTGGGGACTAAGACAGAGAACACCATCATGAGCCTGGACATGGAAGGTGAGGCCCAGGAGCGGTTTGTCCAGGTCACACAGCAAGTCAGTAGTAGAGCCAGGACCAGGATCTGAGGGAACACATGGGGCTTCTCAGAGGAGCCCCACCCTGGAGGATGAGGGGACTGGGCCCCAGAGATTCCAAAAGTCCTAGTCTGATGTTGCTTGTGTGAGGAAAGGACATCCCTCCAACCTGAAGCTACAGCAAGGTTTGGAGCACAAGCTTCCACATACAATGGGTTAATGTCACCAGCCCCTCCGCTGACTAGGTGGGTGCACTGGTGTTGGGGAGATGGGCTATATGATATAGAGAAGCACACTACCTGGCTCAAAACCCAGCTGTGCTTTAACCGTGGGCAATTCACTCTCATTTTTTGGGCCTTAGTTTCCCCACTGTAAATTGAGAAGAAGAATCCCTACCCACCCCCTGAAGGGCACAAAATCTGACACAAGGCAGGTAAAAGCCCCTTGGTGTGCACTAGTAAAGAGAAGCCGGACCACCATCCACAGGGCCTTGTGTGGGCCTGCGGGTTCAGAACCCTACCATCATCCAGTGTGTGGACCAGCACTGGGGCCGAGGTGCGGCTTGCCCCCAGCTGGGAGTAGGCCACCACGTAGAACTCATAGTCAGTGTCGGGCTCCAGGTCTCGGACTTGTAGCTCTGTAGTGTCATTGTTCACTGCAAACTGGTACTCCACATTGTCCATGCCTGGGATGGGCACATACGGGGCAAGGGGACTGTCACAGGGCCACCCCAGGCACCAGGCACTGGAAGCTTTCTAGGTATCCCTCAGATTGTCCCAGCCTCTAAAGGAGTCTGTTTATAGCTACACCACCCCAGATAATCTCCTGAGCTGGGGCATATAAGCTCCCCTGGCTTCTAGTCCCACTGTGTTCATTCCTCTGCTGGTTAGGCAGTCCTTTGTGGCCTCTAATCAAAGTGACTCCTGCAGAAGTTAAAAAGCAGGGGTGGGAGGTGGCTCCTGAAATGCCCAGGCATTTTCCCTGGGAGGAGACGCTTCCTCTCTATCCTCTCATAACAAACGTGGCTGAAGAGAAAATGTGCCACACACGGATCCCTCCAGCACCAGGCGGAAGAACCACTGCCTAGTCTATACCCATGTGTGTCTCTCCTGGGCTCCCACCTCATCCAATTCCATCCCAAACGTACCCATCAGTCAACCCTTCAGTCACCCAACCTGTACCCCTTCCTGGCTCCCACTTTCCCCGGCAACATACCCCGTGCCTTCTGGTAGTGGAGGGAGAAGCCGATGATTTGCTCGCTGTGCATTTCAGGCCGCTCCCAGGCCACAAGCACCGCAGAGCTGCTCAGCGGCGTGGCCGTGACCCGCGTGGGCGCGCTGGGCAGACCCTCGCGCACCACCACTGCCAGGGGCGCCGCGGCGCACGCCGTGCCCGCGCCGTTCTCGGCCACACACTGGTAGTAGCCGGCGTCCTGTAGGCCGATCTGGGTGATGACCAAGCTGCCGCCGCCGCCCTGCACCTTGACGCGCCCGTTGGGCCGCAGCGGCGCCCCGTTGTGCAGCCAGCGCAGCTCTGGCCGCGGCTCCCCCGACGCGCGGCACACGAAGCGCGCCGTGCTCGCCCGCGTCCGCGACAGCGCTTCAGGCGCCTGCGAGATGGCCGGGGCCGCTGGGGATGGCAGGGGGACGCTGACCGCGGGCTTCAGCCACCAGGAGCTCTGCCCCTCCCCCACTATCTCAGTCCCGGCGCCTGGACGACCCTCTCTTCCCCTCCAATCACTGTAACCTCTCCTGGATTCACCTCTCCCCAAAATACTCCAGTTCAGCGCAGATCTACCCCCTCCTCCCCATCTACCCTAGTCCCAAACTGACCATTCTCTTCCTCTCCCCAAATAGTCCCCAGGCCTCCTCAGCCTCCCCTAAATTATACCCCAGCTCTGCCCGGATCTAACCTCCCTTCCTCAATTTACTCACCTCTTTCTCCCCTCCCCACCAATGACTCCCCCCCATTGACCCCTCTCCCCGAGATGTCCCAGGCCAGAGCAAACCCCATTCCCGTTTTCTTAGCACCACCTAGACCACTCCACTATCTCCCCCAGTTACCTAGATTCCACCCTGACCACTGTCTTTTCCCCTAATATCTCAGTCCCACCCAGACAACTCCTCCCTCCCATCACCGGAACCGCGCCCTAAATCATCCTTCTCTTCCCTCCCTGACTCATCTCCCCCCATCCCATCCTGTAATCTCTTCCCACCACTTCCCCTCCCTCAATCCCCCAGTCCCATCCCCTTCAATGCCCTCTTTACTAAGGACTCCCCCGTGAGCCCATCCTCCCTAACTCTACCCCCATTCCATTCCACCCCCAGGATCACCCCTCAGCCCCTCCTCTACCACCACCCCAAGCTCCCCTCAGCCCCAGCTAACCCGCCCCAACCCCTTCCCTCCACACCTTCACGCCTCACGGCCCCCCACCTGACCGCCCGCCTCACCCAGCACGCGGAGCTCAGCAGCTGCCGTGGCGAAGTCGCGGGTGCGGGGCTTGTTGGCGCGGCAGACGTAGACGCCAGAGTGCCGGGGCTGCGCGCTGGCGATCAGTAGGTTGGTGCGGCCCAGGACGATGACATCCGTGGAGATGGGCTTCCCATCTGGGGCAGGAAAGAGGGGCACGCTGGGGGACGGGGGGGAGGCGCTAGGGACTACCAGTCCCTCCACTCTCCGGAACTCGGGGCCCCTCTACACCCGGGTTAAGTAAACACAACAGTCCCAGGTTGGAATCTCGGTTTATCCACTTGCTAGCCTGGGACTTCTCTGAGCCCCAGTGTCTCCATCTGTAGAATCGGGAGATGGTCCCTAGCCTGAAGAGCTGCTGTGAGGGTGAAAAGAATAAGGTTTGTGAGCACCGCGGCACAGTGCCCGGCACATCACACGTGCTCGGTACACCAGTCAGTTATGACTCTCAGCATTACTATCAAGTTCATTTCTCTCCAGGACACATTCTCCCCTACAGCCTCAGCCCAGTACATGCGGGTGAGATCTGATCAGGAGCTAAGTCTGAATATGTGCAGAGCCTTTCATCTTGATGTAAAATGAAAAAACATTTTTAAAAACCCTGCCTTCTGGACATGAACAGAAAATCCACAGAAGAAATCCAAATGGCCAAGAAACACAAAACAGTGACCAACCTCACCAGGAATCAGAGAAAGCAAAGCACAGCTGCCATTTCTCATCTGTCAAATTGGGAAAGTTTCTAAAACAGTAATTAGCACTGCTGGTGAAGGGGTGGGTGCTGATGGGGCTGTAAAGCCCCCCCCACCCCGCCCCCGGAAACCAGTGAGTCCGCTTGTGGGAAACTGTCCTGGGAGACGAGCAGAGTTACAGGGAAGAATCTGTGAACAAGGACAATCACTGCAGCGTTAACTGGATTATGGACAACTGGAGAGGGCTTAAAAATCCAACATCAAACGCTGGAATATTATCCAGTCCTTAAAATTCATTTGTGAAGACGTTTAAAAGATGGGGAAATATTTATGAGATACTGATGGATGAAAATAGGATTCAGACCTGTAAATTCAGTATGCTCTCGATTTTAAGGGAAAATGTGCATATGCATTTAAAAAACCTGGAAGAAAACACACTAACAATTTTTATGTGGGGGTGGTGGGTTGTTTTCTGGCCTCTGTTTTTTCCTAGTTCTCTAAAGTGAACATGTTTGGCTTTTGCAATCAGGTGGAAAAAAAAAAAAAAAAAAGCTGCCCTTCCTCAGCTTAGTAGAGGAGGTTGCTGGAAGGGGAACAGTGCCTGGGGTCGGGGATGTGGTCCTTCCCCAGCCTCTATCCAGGAGAGCTGTTAGTTTCTTCAAGTGAGTTCCCAGGACCTTGGTGTCAGGCTGGTCCAGGAGAGCAAGCCTCAGACCTTTACGGTGCACATGAATCCCAGAACCCCAGGGGATCTTGTTAAGATGCAGAGGTCTGGGGCAGGGCCTGAGCTTCTGCATTTCTAACTAGCTCCATGGGGCAGGTCCAAGGACCCACTTTCAGTAGCAAAGACCTAGGGCAATTGTTAAACCTGGAGATTCCTGCGTCACAGCTCTCCAGGGGTGAAGGGAGGGAGCCTGCAGTTTTAACAAGCTCCCAAGGTGATTCTGAAGCACAGTCTAGATTTGAGAGACACTGATGTTAGGACTTCTGGGCGACATTACAGACTTACCCCAATAACAGTCAGAGGGCCTTGTTGGCCCCTAGGATCCCACTAACAAGGCAAGTGTCACAAATCCCTTGAGGTGATGCAGGTCAGGGAGGCACAATGATACTAGCACTCTTCTATTTCGTCAATTCAGTGTATATATATATATATATATATATATATGTATGTATATTCTCCTTTGAATATAGAGACTTATAAAAAGGAGACAGTGGCGGGTGAACAGAACAAACCAGGGAAGAAGGGTGAAGAGAGCTGAGTTCAAGACCTGCTTCTGCCATTAACTTGAGACAAAACCAAAAACCAATCCTGTTGCCATCAAGTTGATTCTGATTCCTGGTGCCCGCACGTGTAACAGAGTAGAACTGCTCCATAGAGTCTTCTTGGCCGTAATCTTTACAAAGGAGCCCTGGTGGCACAGTGGTGAAGGCTCTGCTGCTAACCAAAAGGTTGGCAGTTCAAATCCACCAGCCGTTCCTTGGAAACCCTATGGAGCAGTTCTACTCTGTCCTGTAGGGTTGCTATGAGTCAGAATCAACTCGAAAGCAATGGGTTTGGTTTGGAATCTTTACAGAAGCAGATCTCCAGGACTTTCTTCTGTGGCACCACTGAGTAGGTCCGAACCACCAACCTTTAGGTGAGTAGTTAATCGCAAACCACTTGCACCACCCAGGTACCTTAACCTGGGACAAGTCACTTCTTATTGGCAAATGGAAACAATAGTCCTTGCCTTCCTTCCTCACAGGCCTGCAGGGAGTGGTGTACCTGAAACACAGTAGGCTCTAAAGTTTGGGTGGTGGCTCTGTCACGTGCCTCTCTGAACTTCAGTTTCCTCGTGGGGAAGAATGGTCCTGGCCTCTGCACTCCTTAGAGGGCTCTCCAGAGGCTCTAACAGGAGAATGGATGTGACCGTGCTCACCAGACTGCAGAGTGGTGTTTGGCCCAGCGCTCTTGCTGCCCTGATAGCATCTCCGGTGACTCAGTCCCACTTGGCGTTAATCACTCACTGCCTGATGTGGTCAGACCTCTCTTCATGGTTGTGTGTCTTATCTCCTTGTCCCAGACTATGTGTTCAGAGGGCAGGGTGTCTGTCTCTCTCATCTGTGTACTTTATTCACTGGGCCCAGCATGATAGCAGGCCCACAAAGGCAGGAGCACGCTGGGGTGGACCGAGTACCAGCTTTGTAGTTAAACGGAACAGCATTGGAATCCTGGCTCCGCCTGACCTCCTGGCTGTGGGATGCCCTCCCAGCTCTCAAACAATCATCGGCAACACTGTTGTGAGGAGCAGCAGTAAGTAAGGTGGAGAACCCAGCACAGTACCTGCCCTGTTTAGGATCTCAGTAGTGATTTTGTGAACGGCAGACTCCACGTGCTTTGTAAAGGAAAAATGCTACACGGATGTGATGGTTAAGCGTGTTCCCCGGCAGCCCCCGGTCTTGCTGTCCAGCCATGCTCAGCCCTGGGAGAGGAGTTCCCGCCACATCAGGAGGTCAGTGTTCACCACAGCGGTCATCCTGATAGCTCCCGAACTTGGGGGGCATGTGAGATGCCACACCCCACCTTTCCTATGCCTTCCCACTTTTTGCCCCTTCACTCACCCTGTCGGACCCAGGACACAAAAGGGGTGGGATCGGCCGAGGCTACACACTCCATCACCACGCTCTGACCAGACACCACCGTGGTGTTCTCCGGGGCTGCTACAATGACCACGTCCTGCCCCCTGGTGGATGCCAGAGACCCTGGAGAGAGGGCAAGCCAGCAGGCAACGTTACCATTACCTGTCTGCACGTGCAGTGTCTCACCTGACGCTCACAGTAACCTGGCGAGGCAGGTGGGCAGGAAGCTGCAACAGTAGATTTGACGGCGATTTAACAGACGGAGAAAGTGGGACCCAAGGTCACACAGTCACACAGCAGAGCTGGGACTGGAACTCAGAGGCAGGAGAATAACCTGACTTTCGATTCAGCATCAGAGAAATGACTGGACAGACCCACACCTGTCCCCACTCTTCCATCCCAAGCTAACCCACTTGCCAGGCACAAGACCATCAGGGTCACAGGTGGAGCCCTGGACTTGGAGTCAACATAGTTCCTAGGGCCAGCACTGTCACTAATGTGTGTGTGACTGTGGGAAAGCCCCTTCCCCAAAGGCCCTCAGGTTCCCCACGAGCAAAGTGTGGGGGTGAGCTGGGGCTTGGGTTTCCGCAGGCTAGGCAGGTCTTTGAGCCCAGATTCTCTGCCCAGTTCTCACTATGACCCTGGCCTGCTGTGGCAGCATGGTGAATACCTTGTTTGTCCAGCAGGTGGCAGCAGAGACCCCCACCCCCACCCCCACCT